GGGTCCCTTTGTGGTTCCCCAATATAGTACGGCACCCATTACAAAAGGACCCTGAATGGGACCCTAATTTAGAGAACTACCCATCTGTTAGGGCTTTGGTGTATGTTGTTTATAGGAGTTGACAGTTGGTCTTTTACTTATGTTAGGGTTAAAGGTTCACGGTTTAGGGTTGAGGGTTTAGGATTGAGTAGGTGGCGGTTTTGCGCCTAATGCATGGGCCTCACTACTTAGAACAGGGTTCCTTTGATAAAGCCCATAAAATAGGGCTAAAACAGCGGAAAAATGTGAATAAACTAGGGAGGGAAAGCACTAGGAACATGCGAGAAGCGCAGGCCCGCAGGGTAGAAAGGAGTGCGGGAAGAGCGGGCCGGGATTCCCGTTTTTCTCCTATTTTGTCTTATTTTACTTTTATTTCAGAAAAGCCAGGATTCCTATGTTTGTTCATATCGTTTATCTGCGATGGGACTAGAGATAGCAGAAGAGTCGGACATAAGATAAGGGTAGTATAAGGGTCTTGGTGGTTTGAATAAGGCTTTGGGTGCATTACGAGTTGGAGTCGGGCATATACTTATGTAAGGAGTCAGCTGTGTTCTTTTTGGGAGCTTGAACTAAACTTTCATGATCAAGGTTTTTACTATAGTTATACATTAGACATTTGTCGCGGCAACTAGAATTAGCCGAACAACAATCCAGTCAAGCTGCCACAAAAATGCGAATCAATCATCGTTGCTTCGGTACGCACTATCTGCTCTCCTATTCTGGGCTATCGCTGGGGTACTTCGATTCTGGGCTTTAGGGCTGGATGCGCGTCGCTCAGCAGCCTGTGTTTGCAACGTAGCTGCAGAAGGGCTGCTCCTCACGCATGACGTTGCAATAAGTCATGGGGCGTAGGGCTTCGAAATTCGTCACTTCTTGCGGGATCATCAACTCCCGGGTGTAAAAAGTCATTTCTAAATCTCCGGCACCCTGTGAATCCCCAAAGGCTCCAGGGAGTCGCAATCTGCATCTGAGGAGCAACATAAACGGCCAGCTTTGCCGCGAACTGGAGTGGTACAGCTGCTTGGTTGAGGGTTTAGGGTTTAGGGTTTATGACTACTACTGCTACTACTACTCCCCTGCTGCTGCTGCTCCTCCTCCTACCACTACCAAAACAACTACAACGACGACGACGACTACGACTGCTACTGCTACTAAGGTCGAGTACACAAAGTCCACAAGTAATTACGTTTGGCGACTATGTAAGATTGGCCGACATCACGAATTCCGTAAATGATGAGAAAAAACGGCTCTTCTGGAGATATTGCTCGGGTTGTCTGCGTAACATTGTGGTCATCATCCCCACCCACCCCCTCCCCCCATCCCCATCTCCCCACCAACAGAACAATCATTTCCAAAGTCCGAAGCTCGAGTTTGCAAACTTGACAAGTCTATTCTGAGGCTTCATAAGATGATCCTACATGACGAAAGTGTTNNCTGCTACTACTACTACTGCTGCTGATTTTCCGACTACTTCCACTAAAGCTGCTGCATCTACTTCAACAGCAACCATGATCTAGGTAATGATGGAATCATATGAACCATGGCGACAAGACAAGAGTGCATGTCATCAGCATAGTGATGTTGCATTAGTGGTATTGTAGTAGTTTGGTACAGCAACAGTAATTAAAATCAGCCCCCAAGCAGTAAGCATACCGTTGCCACACAGTATTGCAATTTCAGCAAGCAGTCTTTGTGCTAGTTCCCTCTCAGGGTTGCCCTGAGCCCCTTCGAGCTCTTGGGACTCTTGGGCTCTGAGGCCAATGCACGGGTGAGGCGATGAACAAAGACAAAAGCGGACGGGCCACCGGCACGGAGGCCTGCCGAAGCTTGTTCAGTTCCGGACATTCGGAGTTCCGAGCCACGCTGAGCTCTGCAGACTTGGTTCAGGGTTTCAGTTATGGGTTTCAGGGTTACTACACGGGTGTGCTGTAACGTTTTCTGTTAGGGCTTTTAAAAGGACTACTGTGAACGTCTTTGGGTTAAGGGCTTTAGGTGTTTAGGCAACTTCTTTTATGGTTCTGAGGTTCAGGATTTGGGGATGGTAAGGTATGGGATTTGCGTTCATTGTTGGCAGTCACAGCATCGCTCCGTGAGAACCCCAAGCTCGCCAAATCCGGAGTTGCATGCCTCAGCCATGCGTTTTCGTATGATCCCCTTATTCCTTGATCTCCTTTGTTTGGATATTGCAACCCTAATAAAGCCCTAAACCCTACACCCCCCTATAAGCCC